AACTCATCAATGACACTCACAATTTTGCCCGTCATAAACAAATCATCTACATATACCGCAAGTAGAAGTAGATTTATGTTTACCACCTTCCTATAGACTGATGGCTCCTTTGAACATTTTTTGAATTGTAGTTCCTTCAGTATCTGATTCAATTTTTTGTTCCATGTTCTTGGTGCATTTCTAAGACTATATAAGACATTTTTCAACTTGTAAACCTTTCCTTCAGATCCTTTGATAACAAAGCCTTCAGGTTATGTAACATAAACCATTTCCTTTAATTCTCCGTGAAGAAACACTGTCTTAACATCAAGGTGATGGATTTCTCATATTCTTGAAGCTTCTAGACTGATAAGAGTATTGTCTCAATCCTAACCTTTAGTGCAAAGACCTCATCAAATTATATGCCATATTGCTACACATAACCCTTTGCCACAAGACGAACCTTATACTTGTTGATACTACCATCCAAATTTCTCTTCAGTTTTAATACCCATTTCAAACCAATGTGTTTGCACCCGTGTGGTAGATCAAATAGTCCCCACGTTCTATTCTTTACTATTGACGCAATTTCTTCTTCACAGGCTGCAATCCATTCTTTTAGCTCTTGCGCTTCTTTATAGTTTCGAGGCTCGTAGTTTATTAGCATAAGTAGTCTTTCTCCTTCTTCTTCCTCAATAAGCAATATATAATCATCAAGGTATTTAGGTTTTGTTACCTCTCTCTCTCTTTGATCTTATCAAGGACAAAATAAACTCTTACTCTGCTTCTTCTTCTTCTATTTTGTCGACAGTTTCTTAATTACTTTCTTGTTTCGAAGTTGTCTGTTCTTGTTCCTCACAAGTTTGCTATCACTGACTTCATCAACTTGTATTCCGTGGTTCCCAAATTCTCCTAGCATAATTGTGAAGTTTCCCACTCTGAAAGGTTTATTGAGGTCTGGACTCCAATTCCAACCTTCAGATTCATCCAAAACCACGTCTTGACTCACTACAAGTTTCGATTTATTGGATCGAGAATTTGGTATGCTTTTGACCCAGGCTCCGTACCTAGGTGAACTAGTAAACGTGACCTATCGTCAAGTTTATTCAAGTTTGGTGATACTACCTTTGCATAGCCAATGTAACCAGAAATGCGTAAATGTCCACTATTAGGTTTCTTACCCTAGAAGGCCGCATACGGAGTTATGTGCTTGACCGATATCGTAGCTATCCGTTTTAATAGATATGTAGCATGTATTGTTACCTCTCCCCATAAGAAGTTTGGAATCCTCTTGTCTTTCAACATACTTCGTGTCATCTCCATCAATGTTTGATTGCGTCTCTTGACTACTCCGTTTTGTTGCAGAGTATATGGAGATGTTAAATGTCTTTTGATTCCTGCTTCTTCACAACATGTGTTGAATTCGTGGGAGACGAATTCTCCTCCTCTATCAATTCTGAGGGTTTGTATCCTTTCATTGAATCACGTTCCACCATCTCTATGAATTGTTGAACCTGAAGTAATACTTACCAAATGTACCTGAAGTGGTTGTCTATGTGAACAGAAATATATATGTTTCCTCCAGAAGTACTAGGTGTTATTGGCCTACAAAGGTCACCGTGTACGAGCTCCAATATCTTTGTTCCTTGGTATAACGTTACTTTGGGAAAACCTTGCCTTGCTTGCTTCCCAAGCAAACATGAACCACAAATCTCCTTTTCAATTGTAATTTGTGGAATCCCTATGATAAGCTTGCGTGATATCATAGATCTGATTGTCTCCAAATTTACGTATCCCAGTCTTGCATGCCATCTACTTGAATCTCCTATTGACCTCGAGTGTAGGCATAAGTCTTCTTTCAAGAACATACAAACCTTGTAGAGTATATTCTTTGCAGCAAAGTAGCTTCCCATATCTTCTCTCAATCTAACATCACAACCAGACTCTGTAGCCTATCTGAGAGAGAATATTTCTTCAAATCCGGTATATAATAAACCCATATCATCGTTCTTGCTTCACCATTCCGATCAATGAACTCAATGGATCCCTTTCCCTTGATGTGTATCCGCGAGAATCATCTCAAAACTTAACCTTTCTAGTGATAGAATCATCGAGAATTCTGAAATATCTTTTATCACTTGTCATATTATTACTGGTGCCATTGCCCAAATACCACATGTTCTCTCCACTGGTGTTTGTATCATATTTGCTTGGTACGATCCTGATATATGGTGTTTTTAGCATATTTTAACAAAGTTTTCTAATGTTTTTTTGAATCTTTATCGAGTCCTTTCTAGTCCTTTTTAAGTCATTACAGGTATGGAGTTGCTTTGGATGGAAGATGGACCAGGTGGAGAAAAAGAGTGCAATTTGATGATTTTCACGAAGAACAGTTTGTTGGACTGTTCCCGAGCGAGCGGAGCAACCTGAAGTGCATGTTCCTGTGGCGCGAGAATTTTAAGGAAATTACAACATATTTCGGGATTTGCCTTAATTCTCCTATTTTTCTCTCCCAGCCGCCAGCAGCCTCCATATATATTATTTTCCTATTTTCTATTATTTTGTACGCTACTTTTTACACTAGAAACCAGATTTGAGGTTTTGGAGTTTTGTGATTTCAATACTTTGTATCTTTGAGGGAGAAGGATCTCTACAACCTTTGGAAAAGATTTCTAAACCCTCTTGCTTATTATTTATTGATTCAGACATGTTTTCTTCATCTCTAATCTATGTGTTTTCTCTGTTCATGGCTGAGTAGTTAATTTGCTTAGTCTAGGGTGCTAGGAGATCATAGATTCATGAGCTAAACACAAATAAGGATTTATGTTTTTATTGTCTCCATTCATTGTTGAACTTACTGCCTGCATTAAACTAGCTATTTAATGTCTGATTCTAGGTTTAATTTATTCACCAAAAGTGTTTTAGGTTGCTAGAAATAACATGAATGGGCAATTTGTCCCTAACCAGCGAAAGTAGATGTTAGGGCAAGTTGTGAACTTATCGAATCAGGTCTTAATGTTTATCATCTTTCTCTGATTCAAACGACATTTTAGATATTAGGAATGCATGATAAAAGGATGGATGCCACGAGAGTGGATCAATCTTGTCTTGTTGTTCGAGTTTAAGAGTTGCTGCGATTTGTTCCTTGAATAGATGTTTGGTTCGTGCTCATTGATTTCCGATCATTCACCTAAGACTTAGCTCTTTTATCATCTGAAAACCCAACCCAAATCATTCTCTTTTACTTGCTTGTTTTATTTTCTTAATTTAAAAACCATACTGTTTTAGCTTAATATTGATCCCATAGAAATAAAGTGTAAGATTTGGTCTCTGTGGATTTGATCCTCAAGTACTGCATCGAACCTCTTATTTGAGAGAGTAGCTTGAAGGTTAATTTGAGCATATCAGATCCTGTCTTCATTGAGATATACAATCTCATGTATCATCAGTTCATCCGCATCTTGCATATCACTATTTGTTTCCTGCGTTTCTTGTAGCTTTAGCAAACCATCCGGACAATCTGATGCGTAGTGACCTAGTTTATCACACCTATAGCACATGACTCTCGATGTATCTCTACCTCCGCCATACCGACCGCGACCTCTTCCTATGTACCACGGACCTCGTCCACCATGACCTCTGTTATGATAGTCGTAGTAACCGTGGTTTGGTTGGTTTGCTTGAGTCATTGTTAACATACATCAGCTTGTTTTTTTCATCTTGAGGTTTAGTTTGTTGATCAGCAATATGTTCCTCATAAGCTTTAAGACACCCTATAAAGTCTTCAAAAGACAGTAGTATTCAGGTCTAGAACTTGTTCCAAAGATGCACGATATGTATATATTTCTTTCGAGGAAGGCTGGTCAAAAATGTCTTTACTAGTTTTGGCTCCTCGATGTTAACCCCCAGTGCTGTAGACTTTCATGAAATCTCTGATAATTTTCTTCCAAAATCATCAATTGATTCATTATCCTTCATCTTCAGTCGCTCAAACTTGTCCATCAAAGTTTGCAATCTCACTTCTTTGACTCTCTCGGCTCCTACATACCTCGATTTAATAGCCTCCCAAATTTTCTTTGCCTTGTCAAGCTCACCAACCTGTAGGATTCAGGTATTGACTGAAATAAAAGTGTGATGGCCATCTCGTTCTTGTCCCCTTCGGTTAAATCAACTTTGATGGCCTCCCATGATTTATGAACTTTAAGCACAGCCTTCATATGTATTGTCCATACCGTGTAATTGGTTGATGTATGCATAGGGCACTGTATAGAAGCCGTGTTTTCTCCATTTGGTTTGTTTGTCGTTTTAACTAGGTCTCTCATCTCTTGTGGAAGGTTCTGATACCAAATATAGAATTTCAATGATCGAATATGAATCAAAACAAAAAATAACTTTTTATTAATTTGAGAAACTAACTCAAAACTCAAACACGCAAATCAATCTCTAAAAAAATTTAAGTTATGCAACATGTTTGCATCTACTTATATAGAGATTTATATCTCCTAGCCCCAATAAAACAATATATCTAGATATCTCCTAAACATATTTCTAATTCCATAATTTGGTAGGATTAGGATACACCGTGAAGTGTATCCAGCAAAGGCAAAACAAGAGGACAAGGGAAAGGGAACGCCTTACGTAAAGCGGTGGTGGGAGATAAGATTTCTTTGTTGGTGTTCTTTTGTTAGAGAGAAGGAGAGCGAGTAGCAGAGAATTTTTTTGATTTGTTGTTCTAATATTAAACTCGAAGATACTCTTCCGCAATATTAAATACTACACATTAGGATGCTCTGACTAAAATTAAAGTACGAATACAGTTCTTTATTTATTCGTAAACGCACCGCTATGTGATGTCCCCAACCCCATATAGCATATCACACGATTCAAAAACCAAAAACAGACAAAACACACAAAAAAACACAGATATAAAGGCTGGTTGACCCTTTTGAGCTGATCAGAAACATCAATCAAAACGCCAATAAAGAGGACAACACAAACACAAAATATCAAAGGTGAAGAAGATGAAGAACGGTCTGATAATCATAAACTGCATTATCCTCACTATAGGAACATGTGGAGGTCCTTTGTTATCTCGTCTCTACTACAACAATGGTGGAAAACGAATCTGGTTCATGAGCTTTCTCTCAGCCGCCGGTTTTCCAGTCATCCTCATCCCTCTTTTTTTCTCCTTCATCCGCCGCCACAACCGTAACCGCAACCGCAACAACTCTGAAAACGCAGAAAAAACAAAACTTTTCCTCATGGAAACTCCTCTGTTCATCGCATCCATCGTCATAGGGTTGCTCACAGGACTTGACAACTACTTATACACATACGGGTTAGCTTATCTTCCAGTTTCAACTCAATCTCTCATAGCTGGAACTCAGTTAGCTTTCAATGCTCTCTTCGCTTTCTTCATGGTCAAGCAAAAGTTCACTCCCTTCTCTATAAACGCCGTCGTTTTACTAACGGTGGGCACTGCAGTCTTGGCCTTGCACAGCAATGGAGACAAACCGGCTAACGAGACTCACAAGGAGTATGTTGTTGGGTTCTTAATAACTGTGATTGCAGCTGTCTTGTACGGTTTGATATTGCCGCTCGTTGAGCTCACTTACAAGAAAGCTCGACAAGAAATCACTTTCCCACTTGTGCTCGAGATTCAGATGGTCATGTGCCTCGCTGCTACTTGCTTCTGCGTTGTTGGTATGATCATAAATGGCGATTTCAAGGTAACAATAATAATACTCCCTCTGTTTCAGAATATTTGTCATTCTAGGCTTAATTTTTTTATCATAAATTAAGTGTATTTTAGAGTTTAGAGCCAAAATTTATTAGTTTTATATAATATTTTATTTATCTATTGGTTGAAAAGTGGTTAATTGTATAGGTAATTGTGTTTTTATCTTGAAAACATGTAAAATTAAATGTTTCCTTAATCTGTGTGCAAAAACATGGAATGACAACTAAACTGAAACAGAGGGAATATGTTTTATGGTTTTTTTTTTGCTTATCTTTGCATGGATCTTGAAGAGCACATGTTCTATTCAAACCCTAATAATTGAGATCTTAGATCTTATTTTTATTTGAAAAAAAAATCTTATTTTTATATCACTTTCAACATTATTACTTATTTGATTCTGTGAGGGCATCTCATCAATTAAAAACGAAAAAATGCAAAATCAAAAAAAAAAAATAAAAGAAAAGAGAGAGAGAGACACACAAATGTTCTTGTTTGAGATATTCAACAAAAAAGTTGCTGAGATTACTCTTGCTGTATATGCTTCATTATTAGTGGCTTAATTTATTTTTAGTTTTAAATTTTGATTCAATATTACATTATAGGGAAAGTTACTTTTCAACAGAATATGTCTCGATGATAAAAGTTCTCAAAATAACATTCACTTGAAAAGCTAAACACTAAATTAATTTAATATCTAAACTCTAATCCTACTACCATTCTATTAATATTAAACCCTAAATCTTAATCAATAAATTCAAACCCAAAAAAGTATATATAGTTTGATTTTTTAGTTGATTCTATTTTGGGCATTGTTTTTATTTTGTCACAATAACAGATTTAGTACTATTTGAAGGTATTTTAACATTATTATAAAAAATAATGAATTCTTTCTCTAGAACTCCATTTTTAGAAATTTTAACAGTGAAAGTGCTCTGATATATTAAATTTTAGTACGATTTCCTAATGTTAAGGAATATACAAAAAAAAATCTTCTAAAAGTAGAAATTCATAAGATAATTATGTTTATATCTCACATGGATTTGTTTATTTTATTGGTATATGTATTTAAGAGTATTTAAATCTATTTGTATTTATTTCATTTCATTGGTACGTATATTTGTGACACATAATCTCAACTGGTATATTTGAAATCATCGATTCAATAATATTTACTTATTTAGTTTCTATTTAACACCCATTAATTGAACATTTCGAACTTTTCATTAAACGTCAACATCACTCATCCAATAAAACATTTTCATATGCTTTTAGTTGATATCAATAGAAGCAAGAGAGTTCAAGATTGGAGGATCTGCGTTTTACTACACGTTGATTGTGATCACAGGAATTGTATGGCAAGGTTATTTCTTAGGAGCCATTGGGGTTGTGTTCTGTGCATCATCTCTAGCTTCTGGTGTTTTAATCAGTGTTCTTCTTCCGGTGACGGAAGTCCTGGCCGTCGTTTTTTTCCGAGAGAAATTTCAAGCGGAGAAAGGTGTCTCTCTCTTTCTCTCCATATGGGGATTTGCCTCTTACTTCTACGGCGAGTACAAATCCGGCAAGAAAGTTCTCGAAAAACACCAGCCGCCGGAGACAGAACTACCTTCTCTTCAAGTTAGAGATTCTGTTGCTTAGAGGTCCCTTTGCTTATCGAAATGAAAAGGTTAAACATGGTTATGAACTTTGAACAGGAAAAAATAAAGTTAGAGCATCTTTTTCTATCTATTATGTGTATTTGTGGATTTTTCAGTGACTTTAATAATGGTCTTTTGTACAACCAAAACACGCGTGTAAAAAACTGTATCATACAATATATGGAGAACACATTTAAGTGGAAACATAAAAGCAGGTTCAACAAGAAAAAATGTATCATACAATATGTGGAGAACACATTTAAGTAGAAACATAAAAGCAGGTTCAACAAGAATTCGATCGGGTGATTGTGGTCGAGTGGTAAGAAGATAGAGATTAAGAGTAGTAAGAAGATAGAGATTGGAACGCTAAAACATTTTAGTTTCAATTTACCTGCTGCATGAAACTACGTCGACTATAAAAAAACAAAATAATAGCGACGAAGATTAACGAAGAAAATTAATCCTCGTAAATTTACGTCGACTTTACGAGTACCTTACGAAGAAATTTAAAACCAACGTTAGTTCGTCGTAAAATTACAATGAAATCATTTCCTCATAAAAAAGACGTAACGCCGCGTGTGTTTTACGAGGAAAATTGATTTCCTCGTAAACTTGACGTAACTATCACGTTTACTTTACTGGAAAATATTTTACGTTTATTTAACGACGAAATTTCGAGTCTACCAACTTTGTAGTTGTAACACGTTTCTTTGGCAACCTAACAAAATTTGGTCGTAAATTCCTCGTAAATTTTCAACAACCAGATTCGAAAATTTCCTATAAATATGGACGTTTGAACATCATTTTAAACACACCAACAAGAAAAAAAAATCTGACAGTAAAAAAATGTCGGGCTACAGGAATATTTTCGAGTTGCGGAGGTGGATGTATATGCATAGAGATGCTAACGGGAGGGTGACGAGAGAATACCTCGAAGAGATGGACACATTTATGCATCAAACAGATTCCACAACGCTAGCTCAAGAAAGCGGTAAGAGGTTCTGTCCTACGCTGCACAGAAGCTTCATCGGACGTGCGCTTCCCGCTTCAGAACCGGAATCAGAATCTTGTGGAATCTTGATTCTAAAATGCTTCTAAAATATCCTATATAAAAACACGTTGGAAGCTTACGATTCCACTTTGGAATCACGCTTCCAATTTTAAACACAACATCATATATAAATAAATAAAATATAAAATCATTTTTATGTTTTTATAGTATATAATAGTATATATAGTGAGAATATATATATATATATATATATGTAAATATTAATATTAATACTATATATCATATGTATGCACTGTTTTTGTTAGAGATATATCATATATATAGATATATTCAAATATGGTGTTCCAATTATTAATAAAATGTAAAAAAATAACTAATTGGTAATATTTGTTTATAACTTTAATTTATCAGTATTTTCACAATTATAATATGAAATCATTTAAATTTATAATAAATGAATAAATTCTTTATTTTAAATTAGAATCATATAGTTCTTAGTTATAAATTTTATAAAATTTTCTTATATATATATATAAATTTGGATATATGCTTCCAACGCGTATCCATTTCCTATTTTTTTTAAATCTCGATTAGCGCTTCCATACGATTTTGCTTCCATGCACCCGCTTCCGGCTCCATGTAACATACGTTTTGTCCTTGTCGGAAATGCAACAATTCGAAAATGGCAAATCGTGAAAATGTTTGAAAGCATTTAATAAATAGAGGTTTCACGCCAAATTACTATATATGGTTTCAACATGGAGAAGGTTATAATTATGAGAATAAAGCTAGTAGTAGTAATAACAATTTTTAGAAAGAACCGGTTGATCATCATTTGCATAATGAACATAGTTACCATTAGGAAGAGCATATGGTAGATTATGATAGGGTTCATGATATGGTAACTGATGCATTTGTAGCTCATGATGAAGATGAAGAACCTAACATAGATGCAAAAAGGTTTTATGAAATGTTAGATGCTGTGAATCACCCACTTTACAGTGGTTGTAGAGAAGGTCTCTCTAAATTGTCGTTAGCTACTAGAATGATGAATACTAAAACTGATCACAATCTACCTGAAATTTACATGAATGAATGGGCGGACTTGTTTAAAGAGTATTTTCTGAAAGACAATGTGTCTGCTGATTCTTATTATGAAATTCAGAAACGGGTTTATAGTCTTGGGTTGCCTTCGGAGATGATACACGTTTGCATCGAAAATTACATGATCTACTGGAGAGATGATGAGAAGTTAGAAGAATGTCGATTCTGCAAGAAGCTACGATTCAAGCCGCAAGGACGAGGACGTAATAGGGTACCGTACCAAAGGATGAGGTAGCTTCCAATTACAGACATATTGAAAAGATTGTACCAATCTGAGCAGACTGCTGGAGGATGAGATGGCATGCCGAGCATACTCATACGGATGGTGAGATGACTCATCCATCAGATGCAAGAGCCTGGAAACATTTTAACTAAGTACATCAGGAATTTGCTAGCAATAGCCGGAATTTGTATCTCGGATTATGCATGTATTTAGTCCATTCCGAATGTCGGAGAGACAATATTCATTGTGGCCAGTCTTTCTTACGCCATACAACCTGTCACCAGAGATGTGCAGGCAACGGGAGTTGCTATTCTTGACCATATTAATACCTGGTCCGTACCATCCAAAAAGGTCTCTGTATGTTTTCCTACAACCACTGATAAAAGAATTAAAATATTTGTGGTCAACAGGGAAGAGGATGTATGACTGCTCAACGAGGACGAATTTTATGATGCGAGCGATACTTTTGTGAACCATAGTAACTTTCTTGCCTATGGGATGTTGTAGGGATGGAGTACACATGGGAGATTAGCTTATCCATATTGTAATAGAATGACATATGCGTTTCAACTGAAGGATGGTAGGAAGCCAAGTTGGTACGATTGTCACCGTCGATTTCTTCCCATTGTCCATTCGTACCGAAGAAACAAGAAATTGTTTAGACACAAAAGGGTTGTGAGAGAAACTCCTCCTCCATATCTAATTAGAGAACAAATTGAAGCGCAAATCGATTATGATGGAGCTTTGGAAACAGTTCCTCGTGGTGGTAATTGGCATGTCCCCGGTAATATGCCTGAATTTTATGGTGTTCGGCACAACTTGCACAAGAAGAGTATATTTTGAGAGTTGTCATATTGGAAGGATCTTCTTATACACCACAACCTCGATAATAATTTCTTCGAGAACATCATGAGACAACATAAAATCGAGGTTGGACTTGCCGGATATATGCTCAAAAAGTGAGTTACATATAAAAAACAATGGACAAATTTCCGTTCCGATATTCAGATTGTCTTCAGAAAAAAACTCGGTGTTGTTTAATTGGGTGGTATCAGAAGTGAAGTTTCCCGATGGGTATGTTTCAAATCTCTCTAGATGTGTTGAAAAGGGTCAAAAGTCCTTCGGGATGAAGAGTCATGATTGTCATGTTTTTATGCAACGACTACTTCCCTTTGCATTTGCGCAGCTACTTCTAACAAACGTACATGAATCACTTGCAGGTAATATATTATAACACATTAGTTTTATAATAGTTTAGTTTGCATTAATATATGACTATTAATGTGTTTAGTTGTTTTTGGAATATGCAAGGCATTAGAGCATTTTTCAGGGATCTGAGCACACACGAGAACATTCTCATCATATTGTGCAACTTGGCGAAGATATTTCCTCCGGCATTTTTTGACGTCATGGAGCATCTAGCTGTTCACCTCTCATATAAGGCACTACTTCGTGGACCTGTACATTACGGATGGATGTATCAGTATGAGCGAGCAATGAAATATTTGAAGAGAAAAGCAAAAAACCTCGCAAAAGTTGAAGGTTCTATAATTGCTGGAAATTTGACGGAAGAAACTTCTCACTTCACACCGTACTACTTTGCATCAAAATTACGTACAGCTCCAAGAAGATATGATGATGGTGGCGTCGCACCAACATATTCAGCTGATGATCGTGTTTCAGACATATTTAGCCAGATTGGGCGAATGGGTGGGAAATTGAAAGAAGTTTGGTGTTCGAGTGAAGAAGACGCTCATATTGCATGCACCTATATTCTATTCAATTGTGAGGATCCATTAATGCGTTATTATGAAAGGTAACACATATGATAACTTCTAAGCACATATAAGTATAAAATATATAATTTGGAAAGATTAATTAATATAAAATGTGATTTTACAGCTTACTTGTTTCTCAAGTCGAGGAAACATTCTCAGGTATATCCACAAGTGACGTAACCAGAAGGAAAGATTAACACTTTATTAAGTGGTTGAAGAAACATGTATCAACTCAAACTCTTAATTTTTGCAGGTTGATCGATCAAACTTTTTTTTCATACATGATCTGTATTTCAACGATCTCTTTATTTTTGCAGGTTGATTATGACGACGATACATGTTACGATAAGTGTTTTTACGAAGTAATTCAAGCTCCACTTGCAAAGGTCATCACATCACAGATGTATTTCATACGGATTTTAATGAAAATGATGATGTTTCCAGTGATGACGAGAATGTCGATGTATCCGATTGATGTATTTGTTTTCAGACATAATGTATATATTTTGATAGATTTAATCATGAAAATATATTTATATAATTTGATTTTGTGTAAAGTAATGGGGGTTAATTTAAATTAGTAAAAAAATATTGAGATTATAAGTTAAAGAATTGTGGTTTTATAATTTGGGGTTTGGAATAGAAAGAAGAGATTGAGGTAGAAGATGGATTATATGAGGTATAAGATAAGGAAGATGGAGTTTCGGGTTTCGGATTTGAGGATTAAAACATAATCCTTGTAATATAACGAGTAACTTACGAAAAAACTTAAAAATAAAGAACACGGGGCTTGTCAACTCCACGTAAGCAAAATTTGTCGTAAAATCCATGTAATGAGAAAAACGCGGGACTCGCTAATTCCACGTAAACAGAATTCTTTGTAAAGTCCACGTAATGAGAAAAAACACAGGACTCGCTAATTCCACATAAGCAAAATTCGTCATAAAGTCCTCAAAATAAAAACATGGGTCTTGCTATTTGATCGTAAATAAAAACATGGGCCTCGCTATTTCGTCGTAAACTTACGAGGCCCACTAGTTTCTTATATAT